GCACTAGGAGCACAGTTTCTCCTGTTATCTGAGAAACTATTTCTGATTTCATTTTTTCCAGATCCCCTTTTGTTGCCAGTTCAGTGGTTCCAGGTGGTTGAGCATCAGAGTGTTCCATCTCATGTCCCTTTGGGGTTGCTGTAGGTGATCTGGAAGTCTGGTTTTGAGACTTATTTCCATGTTTTCTCATTTCAACTGGGGAGGCTGGGGAGGGGGGGTGCCATTGGCATCCACGGGGATCACCTCCTATGAGCTGGGAGAGGTGGGACAGGGGCCGGGAGCAGCGGTAAGGATGGTGGCCCTGAAGCCCCTTCCTCTGGACCAGGAGCAGTGGGACGGCGGCTCAGAAGCCCCTACCTCTGGTCCAGGAGCAGCGGAACGGATGGCAGCTGGGAAGCCCCTTCCTCTGGACCAGGAGCAGTCTCATTTTGGTTTTTGACCTATGGGGCTTTCCAAATGTTCATCTCCAACCCTTCATCTCATTCTGAATTAAGAGTACATTGACCTCTAGGGAAGTGAGATAGGTCAATGCTTGATGGAACATTTAATATTCTCAGTGTTTCAGATGCACACCAAAACAAACACATAATAACAAAATACCATGGGCTTCTGTCCCAAACCCAGTGCTCTGAGCAGAGATTCTAATTTGTGTTTATTAGACTGTATTTGTAATCAGTGGTAGTAATCTGTAGTCTTTCAGCTTGAATTTTTTTAAAAAGCCATTCTCATTTTTCACAGGGTGCTGGAGCAGCATCTTCCAGTAAAGAAACAGGTAGGATCAAATCTCTGTCACTCTTATTTAAGAAGGGCTTTGCTCAGGTCTTTCCTCAGTGGAGAAAAGGGAAAACAGAAGGAGACTGTGTCTACCACAACTGCACAGGTGCGTGGCTGCAGGCCCCAGTAGTGACCCCACACATGCTGCGGGAGGTGGCTGCCCCTGCTGGATCCCCTTGATCCTTCCCTTTGTCCAACAGCTGTAAGACTCTCCTGACAACAGATCTGCAGCTGAAATTGGCCAGGAGCAGAAAACTGACTCTCCCCTTGCTCAGTGTGTTAGTTACTTTTCTCTTGTTGCTGAGACAAAATACCTGATACCCCAAGTTAGAGAGGAAAAGGTTTATTTGACTTACAGTTCATAAAAGTTTCAGTCCACAATCGACGGGCTCCAAGGCAGAGGGGCAGAGGGCCAGAGGGGCAGAGGGGCAACAGTTCATGGTGGCAGAAGATGCCAAAAACAACAAAGGACCAGGCTGGAGATTTAGCTCAGTGGTTTCGCCACCTGCTGCGCAAGTGCAAGGACCTGAGTTCAATCCCCAGAACCAAAAAACCAAAAAAACCCCAAAACAACAAAGGACCTTATGGCAGAGGGGCATCGAAGAGGAGAAACAGTTCATGGTGCCCAAACGGTAGCAAAGGCAACAAGGGAAGTAACAAGAGTCTTCCTGCCTCTTATCCCATCCAGACTACTGGGATTAGGGCCCTGTCAAACCAATCACTCAAGTATAGTGTTTAGTAATCACACTCTCAGCATCACAGATTCCAGATTCAGCCACCTCCAAAAAGAATGCATGAGGGCCGGGGATTTAGCTCAGTGGTTTTGCTGCCTCCTGCGCAAGCTCAAGGACCCAAGTTTGATCCCTAGTACCAAAAAAAAAAAAAAAAAAAAATGCATGAGACAGATGACGAGTTCCCCAAGTGAAGGTCAGTGGACAGAGTACTCCAGCAGAGCAAAAGAATGAGTTACAGCGGGAGGCGCTGGGTATGCCGGGGCACTGAGGCCCGAGTAGTTGGAACGCAGAAGAATGAAATGAGCTAAAGAGGCTGGCGCGGCCGAATTAGGCAGGCGCTTGAAGGCCCGGAAAAGGGGTGCAGATTTCTGGTTAAAAAACAGAAGTTCAAAGCATTGGTCAAGCAAAGAACTAACCTGGAGAGAGGTGCAAGCTCCACGCGTCGGGGACAATGGCTGTGTAGGTGAAGGGGCCCAGGAAAGAAGAGACACGCCTAGAAGAGGGAGACACCCAAACCGAGAGGAAGTTTGTCAAGAGACCTCATAAGGAAGCTCCTTAAGTGCCGCGTTGAAATTAGCAGCTCTTACCGACCCACCGGAACGCCCTTGTCTCTCACAGGCCACAGCTTCAGGACGACGGACTACAGACGTAGTCGCCTGCCGCAAAGTATGCCTGCCGCGCGACGTTTGCAGCGCGACGGCGGGGGCCGGTCTTCCCTCCGCCGAAGCGCCCCGGAAACTGTAGAAACCAAGCACATCGATCTTCGCCTGAGTGCTTATGTGCCTTGGCCACTGGAGACACTAAGAACGGATAAGCTGACCTTCCCTAGGCGACTGCTTTAAAGGCTTCGCCAGTAGTGATTCCTAGCCCTCTTACGACAGTTATGATTGTGATTGTGACTTGACGAAGGCCACACGGATTGTGAACCGCAGCTAGAAGATTCTGGCTACGGTGCTGCTGTGTGATCGTGGAAGGTTTCCTAACCTCAGTTTCCTCTTCGGTTGAGAAGCTAATAATAGTATGGTTGCTAGAGCGACTAAACGAATTATGCGGAAAGCACTGAGGCAGTGGCTGGTACATGGAACGTGCTCAAGATGGTCATAGTTCTTTGATGTCTGAGTTTCTAAAAGTTTGTAGATAGATCACTACCAGATCCTCCTCTGTTCCACAACTTCCAGTGGTGTGTGTGAACGGGATACCAAGTTTGTGTGATATACTTGGGGGTGTGGGAAGAAAATACTAGAATATTTATATATTTTTATCTTATCTCTTAGATTTTGTCCTTATTGTATAAATTTGTATGTAACGCCTAACATCGTTTCAGTGGTATATGTAAGTAACTTGGAAATATTTGGGGTTTGGGCAGAATATTTTCTCCCTTTTCAGTGGTGTGCTGTCAAAAACGTTTAGAGAGGGTCCAGTCTTTCTAACCTTCCAACCGCATTGCACAAAGCCCCCTGCTTAATGTCCCAACCAGGAGCTTGCTGTTCCAGGCAAAGTCCTGCAGTCTGGCCTCTTTGTCTTTTGACTCCTTTCTCCTGGAATAACAGCTTTTCCACCCATACCACTTTTCATGTTCATTTCCTGCTTTGCTTAAGGACTTCTGCATAGATCCCGCCTCCCCGCCATGGGTTAACTGATCCCAAGGCCAAGGATCACCCATTCTGGGGAAGATTTCTAAGGTCCACACCTTTCAGGGTTTTTTTTAAAGCATGCCAGCTCTCCCCTCCACCTAACCTATCACATATGTGTTCTACATGAAACCCCAGTTTCAATTCAACTAGAATTTCTTTTTTTGGCGGGGGGGGGAGTACCGGGGATTGAACTCAGTACGTTGCACTTGCCAGGCAGGCAGCGGAACAATTGAGCTAAATCCCCGGCCCTCAACTAGAATTTTTTGAGCACCTGATGCATGGAGGATTATGGCTCCAACTGGTAACCCATGACTCCTTACCACAAAGTACTAGTGGCAAGGTACTGATCACACCCTTTCTAATTTCTCATTCCATCTCTTCTTCCCTCCTTCCTTCTCCCACCTCTCTCTTTTTTGTGATGCTGGGGATCTAACCCAGGGCCTCGAATCTTACATGCAAAGCAAGTGCTCTGTCACCGAATTCTACACTCCCAGCCCTCCCCCTTTTCTTGTTCTTGGTAGTATGATCTTCACAACCACTTAGGGAAGAAAAACTCTTGAACTGTGTAGCAGATATTCCTCCAACAGAGTTACAGTTTGTTTCTTACTTTCAAGGAGGAAGGAAGGACAAAACAAAGGAAAGAGTCATTCTGCCTAGGCCTGTGTGGTATCTATATTTCAAGAGAAGATCAAAATTCTTGGTTTTGGTATTCAAGACCTTTCATCACCTGGTTTCTTTTCATTTCCAAACACTAAGATCTGCTGCCTACCACCCCTAAAGTCTTGACCTCAGCCATTCAGATTTGCTTCCAAATTTTGTAGGAGTGGTTTCTTCTACCTGAAATGATTCCCACTCACTTGCTGCAACCTTCCCACACTCTCCCAGGCAAACGCATTATCTATTAATACCCGGTTCATCTCACCATTTTCTGGCGAACTTTCCTACTTCCTCAAGCATTTATTAAACTTGTGATGGTGGGGGGGGGGGTACTGAGGGATCGAACCTACTGTACTACATCCCCCAGCCCTTTATTCTTTTTGAGATAGGATCTTGTTAAGTTGCCTAAACCGGGCTTAAGATCCTGCTGCTTCAATCTTCCCTCAATGCTGGGTTTACAGACATGTGTCACCGTGCCCGGCCCCACACGCTTTTAAGGTCCTGCCAGACCTGCGAACTTTCACTGTAGATATGGAAAAGTGTGACCACTGAGGCCTCCTCCATTGAATTGTGCAGTCAGACAGATCCATGTGGGCGGCAACTTTTCCTTAACCGCAAAGGCTGCGAAACTACAACTCCCAGAACCCCACGCGAGAGCCACGCCTGTCCCTTTGCTTCGGTGCCACAGGCTGCCGTGTTCTGGTGCTTACGTCTTACGCCACCACCAGCAACGAAACCCCCGTCCCCCGGGTGCGTTGCCGCCTCCTCTCCTGCTAGCCGTGCGGGTCTTTAGCTTTTTGGGACTGTAAATGAGGTCGAATGATTTTATCCTGGGCCCTCGTCTTCTAGTTCATCTTCAGGACGAGACTCCGAGATCTCGTAGAACACAAGGCAGTTCTTAGCGAACTCTTAATATAAACCTGCTCCATCTTCAAAGCACAGTGGAGCGAGGCTTCAAGTCCTAACCGGAGGCCTCCAGTCCCCCCCCCCCCCCATCCCAGCTACTGCTTGAGCACTGGGCGCCTGGATGTCAGAGGCGGGGCCGTCTAACACCCCACCACCACCCGGGTCCTACCCGCCCCCCACCCTCCACCCCAGTCTTACCCGCAGGGTTTCCTCGTCGTCATTAGCTGAGAAGCGTTTTAACGCTGCCATTTTACAAATTGGCCATCTATAATTTAACACATTGGAAACTTTAAGTCTGTATCTGCTGCACAGATTTGAAATAACAGGGTTGCCTGTGGAGCCTAGCACATTTGGGGAAGACAGCGAGTTTGTGAATTCCCCACCCGAAACCTGGAAAGTGAGCTATACGGTAGACAGACCAGAGAAACGATGTAATCTGAAAGATGAATATCTAAACAAAAAGAATGTGCCATCTGGGGATGGAGGAAATATCAAACTGAACAAGTGAAACAATCAGGACTCTCTTGATGTAAACGACAGTAAGTTGGAGAGGAGGGCTGTGCTAGGCTCTTGATGACAGATAACTTGAGGTTGATAAAATACTACGTTCCAGGGGCAGGGATTTAGCTCAGTGGTTCTGCTGCCTGCCTCACAAGTGCAAGGTCCCAAGTTTGATCCTTGGTACCACACACACACACAAAATATTGCGTTCCATATGGAGCTGCCTCTGGATATTTTTTCTTTCTTTTTTGAGACAAAGTCTAGCTCTGTGGACCAGGCTGGCCTCGAACTTGTGGGACTCTTAGCCTCGCAAGTGCTGGGATCACAGGTGTACACCACCACACCTGGCTTGCCTCTTGATTTTAATTAGGCTTCCCAGGTGCTGTGATTACAAGAAGAAACCCCACTGCTCTGACCAAAGGGGCAGCTCATTCCACCTGACATACATTCTCATCAGTTACCCTGGGCTCCGGTTTTATAGAGCAATATAACTTTATTAGTGAGTCAGCATTCCTGAGATCAGGGTAATTATCCTAGCTGAAGGGAACCTGCCAGGGCAGCTGAGTAGCCTTCCCCAGGAAACACCCTGCTGTCTAGACGCACCCAGATACTTAAGAAAATAAGAAATTTTATTACATTTCTGTCCACTAGACTACAGACATAGCCTACAGAAGGCTCAAAATTATTTGACCTGGGAGTTAAGGGTAGGGTTTCAGGTAGCTGAATGAAGATTAGCCACATATAGTTCAGACTTTGTATTTTTGCCATTTTTTTTCTTTAGTATTGGGGACTGTACCCAAGGGCATTGTACCTCTTAGCTACATCCCAGCTCTTTTCCATTTTTGAGACAGGGTCTTGCTTCGTAGTGCAGGCTGGCCTCAAACTGCTTGAGGCTCCCCAGTGCTGGGATTACAGACAGGTGCTACCTTTTCTTCACTTTTGTTATTTTGAGACAGGGTCTCACTATGTGGTTCAGGCTGGCCCTGAACTATGTAGCCCAGGCTGGCCTCAGCCTCCCAAGTGCTGAGATTTATAGGTGTGTGCCACCATACCTGGCACATTCACTTTTAAATCTTGGGTTAACTTGTTTACATGCCTTGACTCTCAATAATATAAGCACAAGAGCAGGGGCCTTGTCTGTCAAATTGATAGATACATTCCAAAGACCTGGAATAGTACTTGGCAAATAGCAGGTACTCAAACATTAATCAAATGAATAAGTAACTCTGCCTTCAAGAGGGAAGAAGGAAATTGAGACCTGAGCAGGCATTTGCCAAGTGAGAAGGAAATTAATTCCAGGCAGAGAACAATAGAAGCACAAGAAAAATGATGGGTTGCTTATGGGTTGCTGGGACAGTCTTAGGGAAATTTTCAGTAGTTGGTACAAGAACTAGTTTCTTTAATAGTGAACTTAAGAGAATCTATCTCCCCACCCCAAAGGGAACCAGCAGCAGGTATGGAATTGGAATGGATTAGATAAATTAAGGGCAAAGACAAGGCAAATCAAAAAGGATCTCTGGATGTGTGCTAAGGGGACAAGAAGATTAAAAAGCAATGGACGGGCTGGGGATTTAGCTCAGTGGTTTCACCACCTGCTGCGCAAGCACAAGGACCAGAGTTTGATCCCCAGTACCAAAAAAAAAAGCAATGGACTTAGGTGAAGCTATTACCACGCTAAATCATCCTTCCCAATCAATGTACAGGTCTCATTACTTCAGTTTTTTTTGTGGGCGCCAGGGATGAAACTAAGGGCCTTGCACATACATGCCAGACAAGTGCTCTTCCAGAGATATACCTCCCAACTCCAAAATGAGGGTGTTTGCTTGTTTGGGACAGGGTCTTGCTATGTATATGTAGCCCAGGATGGCCTCAAACTTGTGGCAATCCCCCACCGCAGCCTCCTGAGTGCTGGGATTACAGGCATGCCCCATCACATCTAGCTTGGGCTTTTAAAAACTCAAATATCTGTTCTCCACAAATAAAAAGCACAAAAGACACTAGTAATGCTTACTGAATGAGAAACACTCAAAAGCTGATATAAATACAGATTTCCCTACTATGTCCCATTCACATAGTCACGTTGGGTACC